ACGTCGCACCGGCCTATTGCCATGGTAATAACAAATGTGTGAACATTGCACAGACGCTCTATTATCTAGTGCAACAGCTGTTTGAGTAGGCCGGGGCTGCGGTGTTGCCACGTCTCGCCGCGGCCTTGTATTATAGGAGGCCATAGTCATAGTCATGGACACATTACATACGTGAACCCCCCCCCCCCTCACCTCTTGACTCCCCTCCCGCGGTGTCAAGGAGGCCCATCCTTGTCGGTCAGGATCATTGCCTCTGAGGAGGGTCCACAAAACACAGCCTCCGTATCCAAACTGTTTATTCGAATTAACCCTGACAAAAAGCTTCAGGGTGTTCCACCGCCGACAGACTACCGCCTTACACGCTCTTTGTCTGCTGTTGACGGCTTTGTTAACAGACTCATCGTCTGTCAGGATGGTTTAGAGAGACGCCTCTTGTGTGAGGTCGCCGATCTACGAATCTGCAGGTCCTCGGGCGCCATGGGAAAGGATCAGCAAGAAGATAAGGTGGGTATGCTGGAGGTTCTGCAGATTTTTTGTCTTTTGTCATAGGAAGAATTAGCTGTGGAATGAAAAGTACTGTTAAGTTTAACAATGCCCAATTGATAACCAGGTTTAATTTTTACATCCTTGTAGTCATTACAGCCTTTGAGGTTTTCATAATTTACGAAGTTTTTTTACTGAATACAATTATGTTAAGACAATAAAAATTTTAACGTACTACATATTCCAAAGATTGAGAATGGTTGCTAGCTTACAGGTTTCGTTGCGAATACATTTTCAGAGCTTTAACTTTAATTATTGTACTTCTGACGAGTTGGTCTTAACAAAATAGTCCAGTGGCCAGAAAAATAAATTTTGAAACGCTGTCTACTATTATTTGACGTTATCTAGTTGAAGTAAAATGTTGGTAAAATGAATAAATATATGTATACGACCGCAACTGAGGTTATAATTTTAGTTCTTTATGTGAAAATGTCATATGCAATTAAAAAATATCCACATATCTTGACCATCAGGGCCGCTTTTTACATTGTGATTCATTATTAGATTTGAAATATTGCAGTTTGTTGAAGGACTAATTAAAACTTGAACGTTACAGATGAATTAGATTTATTTATTTGTAGAAACCCCTATTTTTTAACCCATGCCATCGCTTTGAAGTTTTTAGCGTTTAATTACAGTTACTCAACAGTTTTTCAGAACAAAAATAAATGATTATTGTTAATTGGACAACAAAGAGATCACGATCGGGGCTCGTTAGGGATAATTGACTCGTCACTCAGTGGGAAAACACTAATTGGAATGAAGGATACATAATTGGTAGACATATTGTACATTCAGATACACATCGTTAATTGAGGTCGAGGAAGAGGGGTAAATGTATGAAAGGAGTGGCTGAAATTGAATAGGAATAGTGGTGTTATTTTGATACTCACCATAGACAAATAGAATCAAATATAGACCGTCAGCAGTGCTGCAGTTAGCATAAGTTCTGGCGTCCACCGCTGCGAGCGCCGTGTTACACGTATCTCGTGTGCCTCAACTACACGGCGCTCCCAGCGGTGGACGCCAGAACCTATGCTAACCACAGTACTGCTAATGGTATATATTTAATTATATTTCTCTATGTACTCACTTAATCAATGATGATCTCTGAATCTATTGATTTTGTAAATAAGCATAACAGTTTTTTTACTATTTAATACACTAATTAACTAATGATATGCCTTGATACAATCGTTACAATTTAAGAATGGATTTTATAATTCCTACGGAAAGTAAATAAAAGATACGTCTAATAACGCTTATACTGTTAATGCACAAGACGGCAAATATAAGATGGTTAGTGGTGGTCGATTTTGATTGGACAATATAAGCGTAAATATATGTTTTCCTACAGTCACCTGACAATGTGGCCTTCCTTGCACTGGTAGCACATAAAGTTGCTATATAGTTGCTGCACCTTTTTACTTTTGACGCACACCAGTATTCCAACCAAATAACACAAAACAGCATGTTTTTATTAGGCACGTAATACGTGGACGCTTGAAAATAAATTGGCAACACTTAAAAGATGTTACGACTACGATCAGCTGGTGCAGCATTTGAGCCGTAGGCGAGTGTGGAAAGAGTCTCGAGTTACACAAATAACTATTTAACATATAAAGGTAAAACAGATTAATATTAAGGAAAGTGGAAAAAGCAATTAAGTGATAAACAACTGTATTACTAATGAATGCTGTGGTAAGACAATAAAAATGTTTAGTCTAAAGTGTTGTTAATAATTTAAATATTTTTTTTATTGTATTGTCATTACTTTAAGTATATTTTATACTGTATTTTTATATTACATTCTCAATATTTTCATTATATATTTTCATGATTAATTTATTTGCAGAACTATTTAATGAAATGTATGAATAAATGTATACAAACATGAATATAAGTATGATTCATCAGTATCCCATTGTATTTTTGATCTGAAAGAAGAATATGCAAGTAGTTTTTTTTTTAGTTTTTTAACCGAGTGCTGTGTGCTGTTTTTTTTTCTCTCTCTGCATGGAGAGTTTCAGGAATGTAATTATTTTTATTGGTAAGAAACCTTGTACCATTGTCTTATTTTAGTTTTTATTTTAGCTATAGCTGACTGACGTTTTCCAGCAATGTAACTGCATTTTATGGAAATAACAAATGTTGATTCTTGATTCTTGATTCTTGATTCTTGATACTCTATTGACATTAGGTTTTGTCCCGATCGTCAGGATGTCATTTCAATATTGTGTGTGTCCTTCGTGTATCAGATTTAAAATGCTGCAGTGTTTTACTGATAAAATATAATGAATTTGAGTCATATTTTCAAATTTTTGGACTCCAAAACTTCTTATAAATAATTATATGCACGTAAAAATATACAGACTGTTAAAAAAAAAGGTAGGGACTACATTTTAGCATTATATCAAGAAAGAATTTAAATAATACCTCAGCTATTCTCTGTCACTCTAAGATTTATAACACACCATTGAAATCTCCATAAAATCTACAAAATGTTATGTATCCTGAAATTTGTTTTGTAAATTTTACGGCTTTTGTGAAATTTGGCGTAAAATATTAAAAATTCAGTTAAAGCGTTTTTATTCTCATTTTGCACAGAATTTAATATCGAAATTCAAGTTACCAATCAAAGAAGTATAAAATAAGAAGAACAAATCATACTGAAATACAGGTGGCACTGGAGAAAAGAAGAAACATCATGATTCAGTCAGATTTATTTAGTCAGTGGCAGTGATAAGACAGTGCTGGTGATAAGCTTTTAATTATTCTCAACGATGTAGCTTATACTAGGAGGTATGAATAGTTGTAAAAAACATACAGATAGACGACGAAACGAGACAGGATATACTGTAAGTTTGTATAAACTTGTTTGTTCATCTTACCCAAGTAATCATACATACTTAAATTATGTCCCTCACCTTTATCCAACTTTGTATAATTTTCAATTAGTAAATGTGTTATTTATTTTTGCAAAACCAAGAAATCGTTTAGATACCACTGCAATGGAGAAACAGTTCTAAATTTAACAACAACGCATCAGCTGAAGCAAACAGCCGGGCATATTTCAAGGTGGCCACAAAAAGTTAATATCCTATTAGTGCACGGGAATGCTGTGACAAATGTTCTGTTCCAGATGTTCTATATTAATCAGCTGTTATTAGTGTTGTGGGGATAAATATGTCAACACTGCTCAGTGCTCGCATCACTGGCGGATATAGGATAGGCTTGTAGTGGTAGGTGTTCTGTAATAGTTCTTCTGTTGGAATGTCAATAATATTTTATGATTCAAAATATTGCAGCCATCCACAAAATAACTGAAGCTTTTTAACTGCTAAATTATATTGCATTGTACCCATTTTTGGTTGGAAAAGTTAAGTTTATGCGGTTGTATGATGGATCCTTTCTTCTGATCATTTTATATCTACGTTACTCTACAAAGATAATGTCTACTTAGAAAAATCCACACTTGGACGACATGTTGATTCGTGATAAGGAAAAATAAAATGTAAACATACCAAAAAACACAAAAAAGTTTATTTTTTGTTTTGTGATAAACAAATACTGTATGAGTTCTAAAACAATGAAAGCTACATGCTATAATATGAAAAGTAATGGATTTGATGTGTTTTTAATTGTCTAAACTCTTAACAATACTAGTATGGTATGTACCATTGTACCTATTTGCTTTAATAACCCTAAACTTTTTAATTTACGAGAACTAAATACATACATTACAAGAAAGATCACAGTTTCTAGTTAACTTATGTTTAGAATAAAATAAAATGTTAATTCTTTATTTTAAAACTACTTAACCTTATATTTGTTCTAAATATTATTGTAATATATATAATGCATTCTTTAGCGCATAATCCAATTTAGCCTAGCTCCTTGATAACATTGACAACATCTATACATACATTTGTAATATGTGAGTGGTTATTATTGCTTTGATAAACAAAGAGCTCTTTAAATTTACTAGTACCTGAGAATAACGTCATGAATATAGTCAGTATGATGGAACCTGTCTCCTGACTCTTTGTCTACCTGGGACCTACCAGGTCTTAACCCATTGGTCAGTCTCCAGATAGACAGAGGGTCAGGAAACATGTCCCATCATACTGACTATAATGGGCATAAATCTGTTTAATAAATTAAATCTTGGATACAAATTTCTGTGTTCATTATCGGTTAAACTTCCAACTTCGCTAAACGCTACAACTCCTAGCCTTACAAAGACTTTTTAATGTCCAAGTAATCGACGCAAGATCATCAATCTTCAGAACAAAATAGCCTGTATGATCGAGCTTGCCTCCTGACCCTCTATCCATCAGGGCTGGACCTGTAAACCCCTAAGTCCCAGGTAGACAAAGGGTCAAGAGACAGGTTCCATCATACAGACTATAATGATGCTAGTGAAGATCAAATTTTTCTCTAGATCCTCGATATTCTCATGTGAGGAAGATATGGCGGAAAGGCACGCTGGACGCCACGTTGGTGAAGATCAGTTTGAAGACAGTCCCGATGGCGTCTCCAACGGAAGGACCAAGTTCTGCCAGCACCTCCTTCCAGTTCTGGTCCAGGAACTGATGCATCGCCTCTCCTGGGGAATCAAAAGAAGTAGATTGGATTGAGGATAAACATATGTGGTGTGTACCTGAACTATTGATGTGAGAAATTGGTGGGCATGTTGATGGGAGGTTCTACAACAACGTCCATGGAATAGTAGATTTAAAGGAACAAAAATTTTGCAAACAAATACAAGCCAATAAATGTTTCATGATAATAATAATTAAACATGTCGAATTTTTTTTCACTTCCAAAGAAACTGATTCAGTTACTAGTCACAGTATGATAAGTCAGAGTCGGCAAAGATACGTGGCAAATTTAGGCTCTTCCTTCGCAAATAGTTTTCGATCGTGGAACCTACATCGAATAATGGTATATAGTGGACTTTTGTATTGACCCAGACACTCGCCTCTACTTAGTAAATACGTTTTTCCTACAGTCTCCCGACAAAGTGGGCTTCCTTGCACTGATTATGGTACAGAAAGCTGCTAATCGCTGCATTTACTTACTTTGCCACACACCAATACTGGTGTGCGTCAAAGTATAAGCCGTGCGCCAAAGTAAAAACTGTGCGCCAAAGTAAGGCTTTCTGTACTATAATCTGTGCAAGGAAGCCCACCTACTTTGTCGGGTGACTGTAAGAAAAATATCATGCGTAACGTGAGTGCAAACTGCCTTTTCCCACTAGTTACACAAATAACTATTCTCACACTGTTCCACTATTTAAGATCATGACAGCTGTTGATCATGGTCAAAAACTACTCTTCTCGCTAGACCAGAAACCACTTGCGACATTATATTCAAATCAGCAGTTTACAGAGTTGCACAATGTGTTTTACCTAGAAGTCTGTCGCCGTTGAACAAGTTCTCCATGCGAATGTACATCCTTGTCGAGTCGAACTTGAGTTTGGCTGTTGTGATTCTTACGTAATCTTCCCCCTTGATGCGGTCCAGCTTGTAGTCGAACTTGTACGTGATGTTCATGTTCACTGAAATCACCGGACAATATTCATTATTAGCGTGAGATTCCTTGTACTTCTGCCTAACAATGTAGTACAACATTTATGGTTAGACAACATAATCACAGAGTAGGTCAAGAACTTATCTTTGACTTTCCAGCATTCAATTTGTAGAGGTTAGTGGCCTCTTAATCGTACATTTGCAAGTTCCCGTTGGCTTCAAAGGTCTTTAGGGAAACGTATTAATCATAAGTGTTGAGCATATACAGTCTACGGATGAGCTTTTATGATAAATTTAAGATATCTGCACAAGCACGCAAACCCAAAACGTTGCTGTCTCGGTCTTACAGTTCATTGTGCTGTCGACTGAGTCACTGACTCATCAAAACCAAAATCATCTACTTCAAAACTACTTCACAGACTTTAAATTGTCAATAGCTTAAACAATAACTAAAGCAGGTTGAGTTTCAACACTTTTGCAAATGATTCCCCAAGAACAATATATTTACTGCCAATACTTCAATGTTGAAGGTAAAGATACTTTGTGTAAGTTTTAATTCAACTTGAATGTACTTCATGAAATCCCCAAAAAGGAAACTCCGAAGTGAACTTTTTCGAGCCTTAGGCCTTAATGGATTTGTGGTATTTTTACTGAAGGGCACCTTAATAAAATAAAGAGGGTTTACAACTGTTTTAAATCTATATATATAAAAGGCAAAGCCCTCACTGACTGACTGACTGACTGACTCACTTACTCATCACTAATTCTCCCACTTCCCATTTGCCTAGGAGGCTAAAATTCGGTACACCGATTCTTTGGGCATTAAATAGGAAAACTAAGTAGTTTTTATTCTGATCGGGCTTCCGGGCTCCGCCCCAGTGGCACTGGAATTTCCCATGTTAACCTTATGATTTTTCATATTTAAAAGGAATTAATGAATCTTAACAGCTGTTTCAATTAAACAAGTTGGTTCTGTTCTGTGATGTTCAATAGCATTAAAGTTGCAAGGATTACCAACATGGTGCAGCACTATTATTTTTTTTTTTATTTATGACAACAGCTAATTTGCAACCAAAAGGTGAGTGAGCGTAGCGAACGAACTTCAACCTGGAGGCGAGTTAGCGTAGCGAACGAGCTAACCTGAAGGCAAGTGAGCGCAGCGAACGAGCTCCAACCTAAAGGTGAGTGAGCGTAGCGAACGAATTTCAACCAGGACGTAATTGAGCCATGCGAATACTTATGAAGTAAAACGGGGCAAAGCCCGCGGGTACAGCTAGTACAATATACATACACAAGGTAATGTTGCCTAGGCCGTTGCCAACGATGGGAAGCACTAGAATCTTGCCAGCGGCTTTGTAGCCTCCAACAATCTCAATCCTTGGTACGAAGAAGTCCCACTCCACGTGCTTCTTGGCGAGGTCCATCCTGCAATGTGGACATTACAGATGTAGGATTATATTCAATACGTTATATACTACGCCTACATATTGGGTGTTGATAAAATAGTATGATACCTCCTCCTCTAATACAATGTAGCGGGGTTTGTGTGTGGCAACGTCGCACCGGCCTATTGCCATGGCAACAGCAATTACAAACGTGTAAACATAACACAGACGCTCCATTATGAATCAGTGCAACAGCTGTTCCTGTGGGCCGGGAATGCGGCGTTGCCACTTTCGCCGTGGCCTTGTATTATAGGAGGCTATAGATTATAGCTTTGTTAAAAACTACGATCAGCTGATTTAGTCAGGACCATTAAAAAATACCAATTATAAAAATAATCTGGATTCAATTTAAAATCATGAAAAAATATATATTTTTGTCAAATTTGAATTTTCCTATCACAGAGTGCACTACAGAAGAAATCGAATTTTTCTATTGGTTTTTGGCAATACGATAGTTGATGTGATCAAAAAGAGGATTGTTTAGGATAAGTTTCTTGCCTCGGCTGGAAAAATTGCGTACGATAGAACTCAGTAAAGTGCACTCTATTGGTTCACTTCAATTACGTCCAACTCTATCATAAAACTGGCTGCAGTTTCAAGGTACAGTAGTTTTATGTCCAACTTCATACACATCCAAAAGTATGCATGGCTTAAGTTTTTTTAGCAACTCCAAATACAAACTATTGATAATATTGTCTTGAGGCAAAGAAGTCAAATAAGTCCTTTCCAGCTCAATAAGTGCATTGGCCTCTGCCTGAATTGCCTATTACATCTGGGTATAGTATGAACATGTCTTCTTTACCAATAGTCAAAGGCTTAGAAGAATACACCTGTGGGAAAACCCCAAAACTTGTTAGAGAACTAGAGGACCTTGATGTCACCAACAAGTGCGAGCGCAAATCCATTTGGGGTTTTAATTACTGTAAATACATATTCTTCTGTACCTGGAACCAGTGAACTGAGTAGCCTTCAGTCCGAGGATGTTGGAATCCCTGAGAGTGAGGTTGAGTCCTACTTGGGACGTTCCTTGGTTGACCGCCAGCTTGGAGATCAGCAGAGGATCAAGTCTGGGGATACGGAACTTTGGATCTCCTGGAACATAAGTGACATGGTTATCAGAATATCATAGCAGCAACACTTTTGAAACATTAAAAGTGTTCCTCGTGGATAAAACTAAACACAAAACATCTATCACATCTATCTATTTATCTACACATCTAACATCTATCTATCTAGCGGTCTATGGGAAGTGTGGCGTTAATTTATAAGGTGACACACCAAACTACGTTTTTAAGGACGAGTAAAGGATGAGTGTTGAAATTTTAGCGTTGTTACTAACCAAGATCTGCTGGTTCTCCAGAGAGGACAGTCTTAGAAAACATTGATCAAGGACAGCTGGGTCCACTTTTGAACCATCAAAAAACTACCAACCTTTCTCATAGAACCGTCACACTTTTGCTAACCAGACTAGAACTATATCTCCGAAGCTATTATTGCAACGTGTTATAGCAAAATTACTGATTTTTTGTTTTGTTGGCCAAACTGTACGTACTTTAGCGAATAATAAGCCAAAGAATATATAATGTTTAACAACAAATTGCTGTTATTTTTCAACTCGGCGAGACAGTCTTATAGTTTACCACTTAAAGGCTCAATATACGCAATATAGCGCAGGGCCTCTGTCCTAGATGTTCAAGGTTCAATTCTTGTCAAACACCAACAACGATTTTTTAACGTCATAAGCTATGAAATTGGGGTTAGAGTCCCATATATTTGTATGTCTACCTTTTATGTACAAAAATGATAGGAAGGCCTATATTTCTCGTAGTTGATTGGAGATGTCTCTTTACGAAATACCGAATGATATTGTAATCATTTAGAACAGTATACCTATAGTCTGTATAATGAAACTTGTCTCCTGACAGTCCGTCTACCTGGGACTAGCCCGGGCTCTAAACCATTGGCCAGTCCTCAAGTAAACCTCCAGTCAGGAAACAGGTTCCATCATACAGACTATACTGCAAATAACTCATGGCTGAGCTATGTGATTACTTGTTACCCTAAGCCTAGCCTCGAGTAGTTAAACGGTTCCGGGATTAAGCTTAGCATTCTAGGAGTTGACGATACACAAAACAATACCTAATAGGATGGTAGCAAAAACAACTGGCTACAAAACTTTTCATTTTGCGTCAACAATTATCTGAACATAATTTTAAACTGATGTTTTACACAGTGGCATACATTATAAACCTGACTTGTATTACTTATGGTGTAACATATGTATTCACCCTAGAGTTGTTTTGACTTGCATGACTCGTGGGCGGCTAAGACCCGACCCAGTTCCTCAAGTGTGACCTTGTTTACATAAGTAACCACTTTCCTAGCCTCAGGGTGCCATCCTCTTAACTTCCGCTACCCTCAGTGACTGCGTTAAATTCAATTGTGTTATCACAGTGTACTAATAATGTAAGTTATGCTAAATGACGACATCGGATAAACAACAGTTTTATATGTTTGTGTTGGGGTTGATTGCACTAGACACATATGTATGGACCAGGTGAAATAATTTCTTTAAAAAGGCAGTATTTCATTCTCAGAGTGTGCTTAGGGCTCAAATAATGCTTTCTCTCTTAGTTTTGCATATGATTAATATGGAAAAAATATAGTATAGCTTACAAAAGCTTGTTTGGTTTTAGTAATTTACACGCATTCTGATGACTCAATTCAACTACTTTTTCATCCTAAAACCAGCTAAAACTTAAACATATAGCTTTCTAGTTATAGTTATAGTCAAAGCTACAACTCATGGTTTGGTCCATCAGGGAATATTCCAAGTGACAATGTTTTGTCAACAGTTGAGCTGTCAAACTACACTGTCAACTGTCAAACTGTCACTGTCAATTGTCAATTGTCAACACGAGAGTTGTCCCAGCAGAACAAACACTCATTAGCAGGGCAAATATCCACTCAAGCTCACGTTTACATAAACTTTGCGTTTACATTTTCGGAACCATTTCAGTTAAATAAACATTGTACTTGTGAAACTAAATTTGCCGTTTACTTTGTTTGTATCAGTGTTATTTCAGTGTTTCTTTGCGAATGAATTTGAACTGGTTTAAACAGTTAACTGACACCTCTAAATTTTTAAAAGTAGATTTATTTATTTTGGAAAGACAGACGGTGTAAAGATATATTAACCCTAATGGTATACTCTGTATGCTGGAACCTGTCTCCTCACCCTTTGTCTACCTTCTGGGCCTTTGTCTACGTAGACCCTGTCAAGGGACAGGTTCCATAATACAGACTATATTAGCAGGAAAAACTGGGGTTCTCCTCTACTCCCACCATAGACAATTTCATAAAATCTCTACAATAAACTTACCTTTTATAATTTTGGGTATGACTTCTCTGCCGTTTCTTAAGGAACATTCGTTGAGGGTGTTGTCTGCTTTGCACGGTATTATGTAGTCTGCTACATAACAACAACAGCATTAGCACAACAACAAAGTTAATACAAAAACAACAACAACATAGCAGAAGCAAAACACAATGAAACTGCAACTAATGGCGTACTTAAGAGTCCCTGGAGCCTAGAGACGTTAACTCATAAATCAATTTAAAAACTTAAGAAAAAGTTTAATCCCGCAGTTTACAAGATATTTAAATTACAATCGCTCTGGTGTTTGTAAAAATATTTTGAGATGGTAAATAACTCTTCGGTGGCTGTTTGAAATTAACATTGCTTTCGTGGTGGACAAATCCAATATGGCTGTTAGCTTTCATGGTCTCCCTTGGAGAACAATTCATTTAAAACTACAAAGCACATTTCTAATCCCACGGATTACTAGATATTTAAATTACAATCACGTTGGTGTTTGTATTTGAAAACATATTTTTGAACGATAAAAAACTCTATAGCAGTTGCTTGAAATTACCCAAGATGTCCGCTAGCCTCCAAGGACTCTTAAACCACATTATAAAATATGCAACAAATTATATTAATCATTTTTTAGAGTAGCCTGATTGTAATATTTAAAAAAAACTCTTATTATTGTACTTACAAATTACAATGCTCATAAAATATACTTTCTGTTATCAGAACTATTTTTAAGGTAATTGAAATCTGATATAGTTTTATTATAGTCAATGTGTATCAAAGCTAGAGTAGTAAATGTACTTAAAACAGTAGTAACAGTATCTATACTGTATATTAATAGACAAGCATGATTCTTTAAAACCTTTTTTCTCAGCCTGTGTGAATCGCAGGGAAACTCTACGCATACTGTTGGAAAGATATTTTCCTGTAGATGTGCAAAAAAATAAGCACAACAAAATCATTTAAAATAAAAAAATTAACATGGGCTTTTTGGGGTTGCCATGCTGGTGACGAAATAACAACAAAATATAAACAGAAAATCAAAACAAACGGAAGAAATTACAATCACATGTTTTATTTACAGCGTAGGATGAAAATAGAGAACTCTGCACATTACAGTTTTCGACCATCGGACGACCTCTAGTTTAAATTTAAAATGTTTGAGATTTGAATAATAGTTGGTTAATATCAAAAACATTACAAATCAATCATTTCAATTATAATAAACGTAATGACGTGACATTCACTAATAAAAACTAATGTATGCAATATTTTAGGTTTTTCCTTCCCCGACATTATAGTAACATATTCTTTTAAATCTTTTAATAAAAATTTTTGTCTCAATTTTTATTTTTATGAGAATCAATTAAAATTCAAATTGCTTTATTAAAAAAAATGCAATTAAAAAAAATATTACAACAGCCATTGGTAAAGAAAACAAATATGTATACAAATTTTCGGTTGTATATACCGGTATCTCTTATAATTAGAATGAAATAAAATGAACATAGCGTTATCCAGAAAATATTAACTAGTCGGTTGTAATAGAAAATCGTCAGAAACCAGAAACTCCCCTACAGAGTAAACCACACCCTCCAACAGAAATTTCGACAGCTGTTTTTTTTAAAGTTCGGATTTTTTTCATAAAGATACAGTGTTGTGGACCTAATTTTTCCAAACCCGTAAACTTCACAGAAAGCAATCACATTGTTGTTTTCTTTAATAAAAAACATTTTCCCCAGACATATTAAAACTACTTTCGACATTAAAACATAAGAAAATCGTAATATATACAGTTACTTACATTCATTACGAAAGCATATAAATAATAGCTTGATGACAATTTTTTATTATAAATCGAAACTAAATTATCGAAACTTACGTAGTTTGCCCGCCATTGCAGGCATGCAGACAGCCAAGAACACAATAACAATCCCTTGCTCCATGACTACTGACTACACACTGGCCAATGAGAAGTGGCGAAACTCTCCCTTAGTTTAAATACCTCGTTTACGTACACTGTTTACCGATGTGACCTTGACCAGGTACTGCAAAACATCCACAGACTGTACGTATTGTTGTTGTAACGTCTTTGAAGTGGTTTTGTCTGTAAGTTTGCTAATTTAATTAATTGTACAGTTATAAGTCAAACAAACAAAACGGAGGATTTTGAAGGGAGTTTAACTAGCAGCCAGCGTCAATTTGTGACTTCAAAATCCGTAATATTTTAATTAATTTACAATTTTCTATTGCAAATCCTATCAAAACACCAAATGTAAGTCATTTTCTTCTTTACATTTTAAACCAACTGTTAACGATAACCCCATTTTCGTAAAGATGTAAACAAAATTGTATCATGGCCATCTGTTTTGGTGTAAAAAGAGTAGACTTGAAAAATTTCTGATGGTCGACAACAAAATTCAGCCCAAACTCTGAAATTTTAAACGCCTATAGGACGAAGGGCTTTCATGGGATATCATCCGAAACCGCAAAAGTCACATCAAGAGGATACTGAAACTCGTCTTTAGAAAATACGATGATATTTAACACTTTTCAAGGAAAACATAGACAAAACGGCGATATCTTAACTTGACAGAGCGGGAGACAGGGAACCTACAGATGTATAAGGGACCCGCACTCTCGACATAATATTGACTCTGATAATGTTTCTGTTTCCAACCCTCGCTTTGCCTGCTTAACTAACTTGATCCTTTTGTATTTAGTCCGTCCAAAAATTTAGTCATTGATTCGGAATCTTTTTGGGCCGAAAGTGTAATTGGTATATAACAATACACGGTGAATTAAATGAATAGAATGGTCAATGACGTCTTAAGATAGTTTTCTGTTCGGATACCAGTGTACCCCAGTAGGCTGTACGCTTATATTCTATGATTCTACATAAAAACCCAGCTAAAACGTATTACTATTGATTTTTGTACACTTTATGTCGAAATCCCATCTATAATGAGACCAGCTTTAGCAAATCTATAAGTAGTTTAAAAGATGATATTGGTTTGTACATTTGTATATATATTTGGCAGTGATAAACTCAGACACCGCTGGACCGATGGCCACGAAACTTGGTGCATACTTGTAGAACTTCATGAAGAAGGTTTATACACCATACATTTCTTGTACAATAAGCAATGTAGGTCTGCCGATGTTCTCTAATATGTTTGAGAAACAATGTAGGTCTGCCGATGTTCTCTAATGTGTAGGCTTGAGTTTGTACGAGAAGCAATGTGGGTCTGCCGATGTTCTCTAACGTGTACGCTCTAGTTTGTACGAGAAGCAATGCAGGTCTGCCGATGTACTCTAATATGTTTATACGAGAAACAATGTAGGTCTGCCGAGGTTTAAGACGTTATCGGATTACCGGAAGCAGTACAGGTGAAGTGAAACTGAAGAAAGGCGAAGAAAAGCATCGAGAGCGTTGAACAAACAAGAAGCCTTACACATGTGAGGGAGTGATCGTGTTAGTGAATGAGAGGGAGAGGGTTAGCTCGCGCGATCGACTCTTAGATCGTGTTAGGCATTGGTTGAGTTTCATTGTAACTACAACTCAGAGTTATTCTTTGCTGTAGCTCTTATTTGTAACTCTTGATTTTTCATGATTACCAATTGCGATGAGGGCACATCTGATCGAATTTTAGACCTAATTTGAAAGAATAACTTTAATGGAGTAAGTTGTCTTTTGTGTGTGTGTGTGTGTGTGTGTGTGTGTGTTTTTTAGACCAGCTGTTTTATTATCAACGATGACTTGTCAATTGTTAAAAGCTGAATGATTAAAAACAGCTATTCTAAGTTTTGAACATCAAAGAAATCTAATAAATATTCTCAAAATCGATTTAGCGACCTTTTGGTGACTACGTGATCGACCTCTGTGGTCACTTAAATACGCTGACATAAAGTTTTTTTAGTTAATCATGTCGTTCTACTTGGTTAAAGGTCAGCTTATTCTTCTATGTTAATCCCCAGATTTCAATTCTTAGGAAAAATCAGTTTCGGAAATTTAACCTACATAGTAGGCCTAACTACGGTCGAGCTTTGTTACGATAAAATCATCTTGTACTCCAAGAGCAGTCTTGGGTTTTCTATAGACCATTTATAATTTGCACATAACTTATCCAAGCTTTGCTCGGAGAAAATGGTTATTAGGTGAGCAAACTTTTGTTTGACGGTATCAATCCAAAAGGTTCCTCAAAAATTTTCAATCTGCTTACTACTTGTGCACGGGGAGCTTTGCTCTTCGGAAAACCATAATTTCATTCTAAGTCTTTGTACAATATTATTATCCAAAAAGGTTCTTCACTCAATTTGTAACCTAAACAACTGTAACATAACATCTGAATGCAAAATGCTCGCGCAACCCAACAAACATGGGGAAAAAGGTGACCCGTGAAAATGTGATCCCTCGAGTGGGTAATCAGTGAAAGGCGCTGTGTTGGGGGGGAGGGGGTGTTGTATGGGGATATCATCGCCGTGTTGCGCAATTGGCCGTGAAATGCAGACACGGGGGATGTAATTGGAGGGGTGCACCTGGTCCATCCATGCTCAGCTGTGGCCAATAACAAGCTTGTGGGGGTCAGGGTGTGTTGCGATATGTGAGACGATCATTGCCTCGTCAAACATAGGAAAACTACGAGGTAAAATTGATAGCCACATGGCAGGTATTAGACGTGAATTGTGTCTGAGAGGTTGTAAGAAATTCTGCAATAAGACATTTCATGTCCGGACATCTACTTAAATCACGACGTAGGAATTACATTTTGTTATATTTTCAATAAGGTACTAGTGATCAATAATGTATGATTGATAAAAATATTATTTGCCATTTTCAATCCTTTATGATTTGAAAATGAAAAACCAGCTTACTCTTGCACAGCCACCTTTAACTCCAGGCCGCGGCCTGGTACAATCGGCAACGTCGCAAGTAAGGTTGTTTAGTGTCTGTAGTGTCATTCATATGCCTTTGCATTTAACATATGTTTTATAATTTAGTTTGTTGTTGTTGTGATGATGACTCTTGTTGAATAATAAACACATTCTTTACTTGCAGCATTTATTAGTATTTTATATTATCTTACATGGTGTCAGGTTGTGAAATAAACATTTAAAATATGCCAAGACCTAACAAGAAATCTTCTAGAAAGTCCAAAAAGGAAGAGGACGAGTTTACAACTGAAGATTCTGGAGATGAGGCAGTTGGTCCACGACATAGAAGTAAGTTTCAAATAGGCTCTGATAAATCTATGAAAATGATTAGTACCCAATCAAAGCCAGCACCAATAGTGATAGGTCTACAGGCACCACTAAGTGCTCCTGAAATATTTGATTTTACCAACCCAGCTATGTGGCCTGTATGGATTAAGCGGTTTGAACGTTACAGGCAGGCATCGGAGTTGTATCTTAAACCGGACCACCAGCAAATAAGCACCCTTTTATATACTTTAGGGCAGGAAGGTGAAGGTCTTTTTGAAACATTTGGACTAGGTGAAGAAAAAGAGTTAAGTTATGAGGATGTAGTAAATGCCTTTGCGAGGTACTTAGGCCTTAAAAGAAATTTGGTCTACGAAAGAGCTAAATTTCTAAAACGTAGGCAAAGTGCAGGTGAACCGGTGGATGCTTTTGTCAATGACTTGCACAAACTCGCGGAAAGTTGCGAGTTTGGACAGCTCAAGGACAGTTTAGTACGAGACTTAATTGTTATTGGTGTTCATAACCAAAACTTATCAGAGTCTCTACAATTAGACGAGTCATTGACCCTTCATAAGGCAATCACGAGAGTACGTCAAGCAGAAGCAATGTCTAAACAGCAAGCTGTAATTAGAGATAAACCATCCAGGGAAGATGTATTTGGGGTAAGTTCAAAACCTTTTGATAATAATAAACGTGTGGCTCAAACTACTAAAACATTTTCCTGTCGTCGCTGTGGAACAACTCATGGCCCTCGGGAATGTCCTGCTTTTGGAGAAAAGTGTTCCAAGTGCAAATTTCGTGGTCACTTTGCAAAATGTTGTCCAAACAAACCAAAGGAGGTAAAAGAGATTAAGGAAGTTGACTCAGACGATTTGATTGATTCAAAAAAAGGACATTTAGGTGAAGTAAACTTTAAGCAAGGTAAATGTCCGAGTGTAGTGGTAAAGGTAAATAGTCAACCAGTAGAGTTTAAGATGGACTCTGGGGCAGACGTTTCTGTTATGGGAAGTACACTTGCACTTGACCTCAAACTTGTAATCCGTCCTACCCATAAAGTTCTTTTTGGGCCGGGCCAGACTAAATTGACTGTTGTGGGTGTCTGTTCAGCTGAAATTATGTATGGCAATAAGCAAATATTAGAAGACATATATGTCTTGCCGTCCCAAAGTACACCTCTAATGAGTAGAAATGCATTGTTGAAACTGGAGTTACTTACGTTTAACGTTAATCTTGTAGATGGTGAATCACTCCAGAGTCAATATCCAAAAGTGTTTGAGGGCATGGGTAGAATGAATCATCCATACAAGATTAGGCTGCACGAAGATGCAAAACCTTATGCTGTTATGTCACCGAGGAGGGTGGCTTTCTCGCTCCACAAACAGGTTAAATATGAATTGGACAGGATGCTTGCTGATGGTGTAATAGAACCAGTAACTGAACCTACTGACTGGTGTTCTCCCGTAGTAGTGGTTCCAAGGAGTGATGGTAGAATTAGACTCTGTGTTGATTACACAAAATTGAACCAACATGTGAAAAGAGAATTGTTGAAGCTTCCATCAGTGGATGAGTCTCTAGCTAAGTTGGAAGGAGGTAAGCTTTTCACTAAGTTGGATGCTGCCAATGGATTCTGGCAGGTTCCACTTCACAGTGATTCATTTAAACTCACCACGTTCATTACACCGTTCGGGCGATATTTCTTCAAGAGACTTCCGTTTGGAATCTGTTCTGGACCGGAGGTTTTCCAATT